CGCTCGGACCCGCCCGCGCCCCGCGGTGCCCTGCGGGCCCTGGACGTGACGTCCGGCGCCGATCCTGGCCCTCTCGGGCCGCGCGTCCAGCCCCTTCCCGGTGCCCGTGGCCTGTGCCCCTCTGGCCGGGTTTCCCGCCGGGGCGGAGCTTCTCCCGAAGGTCCCTCCGGGCGTACCTGGACGGGGGTGGGGGGTGGAGGCGGCTGGCCACGGGGATCTCTGCACCCCAAAGCAGCGTCGGGGGGACCCCGGCTGGGGCCGCGAACCCGCGCGCAGCATCCGAGCCGGCTCTCAGACTGTGGTAGACAGCGGGGACCTCCGCCGTGGCGGCGGCCGAGTCTCCGAGACGTGCCCGCACCTTACCGCGGGCCTTTATGGTACCAGGAGGTGCAGCCCTGCGGGCTTCCCAGAGTCTCAGGCGTGCATAACTTTATATTTGTCCCTCTGTGCTTTGGTTTTCCAAGCTCTGTTTCAAGAGCATTGCCTCACCCGCGGAGGTCCCTGTCATGCCAGGTTTCATCAGAGTCTTCCTTTTTATTTTTTTTTAGGTTTGTGGAAATCCGGTCAAGGGATCCAAGAGTGGAATGCGCCTGGCCTTTTTGTGACTAAGGAAAGCGTAACATAGCCCCGAGTCGTGCATCTGCTGGAGCTGTGCTGTGCATCCAGCCGCCCCCGCGAGGCCGTGCAGGACGAGTCGGCACCAGGGCTGTGTGCCAGGCCCCGGGGTTGTACTTTCCGCGCCAGCCGCACCCCATCGAGCTCCTGCAAGTGGGTATGTGCCCGCGCAGAGGCCGTGTGACCTATGTGCGTGTTCGGTTTTCTCCGTGCAAAGTGTTGCTGCTTCTCCGTGGGTGGGCGACTTTAGAGTTTAGGGAAGGCCAGAGCTCGCCGCAGGGCGCTGGACTTGGATAAGCACGGCTCAGGACGCCGTCTTGGCCGTAGCTTATTTGTCACCAGGAGGGTGATCCCCAGGAGAGCGTTACTGCGGCGGGAGCTTGAACCCCGCTGGCGCCCTGGAGTGTTTCCTCTCCACGGGCCCTGTGGGCTGGCGCTGTTGATGGCTGTGGAGTGGGCCACCTCCTTCCTGCTCTCTCTCAGAATCTGGCCTGTTGACCTACTGTGTGGAGGGCAGCGCTGGCTTGGCTTCGCGAGGTATGGTATTCACTGAAGAGGAGAAAGAGCGTGCTGAGCCCGACCTTCTGGTCAGGCGGTTGCTCATCAAATTATTTTCGCTCTTACTATCTCCTGTAAATCCAAATACCTCCTAAATGATAAACCTACTTCGGTATGCTTCTAAAGCAATATGTTTTATTTCTGAAAGGTTTTAGGTGCCTGAAACATCAACAGCTTTTGGGTGGCTCTGAAGATTAAAGAGGTAAGTATTTTCATTGTAAGTGGAGTCTTGTATATAGTATACATGTGTGTGTATTATATATGTATAAATATTTTCCTTATATTTATTTATTTTGTGGTACTGGGAGTTAAACTCGGGGCCTTCACACTGAGTGACATCCCCAACCGTTTTTAATTTTTTTAAAAAATTTGACAGAGGGTCTTGCTGAGTCACTAAATTGCCCAGGCTGGGCTTGGAGACTCCATCCTCCTGCCTCAGCCTCCCAGAACACTGAGATTGCAGGCGTGCACCACCATACCAGGCTTCTGTTAATATGTACTTCTAAGTTTTATAAAATTTGCCGTCAGTTTACTCTTAGATAAAAGTCCCAACTAAAAGTATTAATCCAGATCAGATTTACAACAGATAACAGACTCTGCAGGTCTACCTGCATGAAAAGCCTCAGTATTTACAGCTCTAGAGGGGGAAAGGATTTTTTGCTTATTCCCGCTACTCACTGATTTTGAAAGTTGTGTGGTCACGTGTAGCTTAGTACACAGCAAACCTTACTGAGGCACTGTATGTATTTTATGGTTCTGTCACTCAGTAGAAAGAAAATTCAAAACACAACCAACATCCCTAAGCAGAGATACCATTACAGTGAACTGAGAAAGCATGATTACGGTCAGGGATATACTGGGGAAATGTGACCCAAGAGCTTGAACCTTCTGGGATGAGTTAGAAATGCAATAATATTCACCATCATCACCGCCTTCCACAGTGTGAAGGCTGGTTGGGCTTTCAGACAGAGTAGAGTTTAAGGGCACAGTCTTTGAGGCAGACTGCTTGATTTCATGCCTGGAGTTTCTGAGTCACAGTTATTAACGCACGGTATCACTGTACCTACCAGGGCAGGAGCTTCCCAAAGACAATGAATTTGGTTCACACTGACTGCACTTCTGCTACTTCACACTGTAGCACTTCTGCTACATCAGAGGCTTTTAGAATGCCTAGGCCTACCTTTTAGCCAGGTGTCAGACCTTCAATCTTTTGTAGGCAAAAAGGGGATGGCAGGTAGGGAAGACTGCCTGCACGCAGTTTCCAGATGGAGGTAAATGCAAATCTCTTTTTACAAGTTTCTCAGAGCCATTCCAGTGCCTGCAGAGGTCTGCAGCTCCTCTGCGGAACCAACTCAAAACATGCCAAAGAAATACATTTAGGATAGGACGTTTTACTGTCTCATGCTTGGATACCTCCTGACACAGTGCCTGGCACGCAGCAGATACTCATTCAATAGCTGGTGAATAAGAAACATTACCCACTGGTGTCGCAAGGTACATTGTAATTATGCTTAGCGCTTGGCGCTTTCCTTGGACCTTTAAAGGAAAATTCTTAACGAAGGTGTGTCCAATTTGATCTCTAGGTTTGGAGGTTGCTATGTTAATGCTGCTTGTCTTTGGAGTCCTACTTCATGAAGTTCCACCGAGTGGCCAAGAGGAGGCGTCTCCTGAGGCCGGCCCCGTGCCAGGAGAGCCCCTGTATGACTACGCCGGCGTGCGCCTGCCCGAGGAGCACATTCCCTTCTTCCTGTACAACAACAGCCATGTTGCCACCCTCTGCAAGAAGGACTCGCGGTGCCCGTACAAGGCAGGTGTTGTTTCTCCTCTCCTCCTTGATTTTTAAGCAGATACAGTGTGTGCTGGCTTCCTGCGTCTGCCTATGACCCAAGACTGAAGGTAAGCCAGCACTGTCAGTTTTTGATGTGAGCCTGTCATTGTTGCAGTTCATCTCACACTTTGAAGTGACTAAACTTGGTTTAAAATGGATGTCCCATTCACAAAAGTGAAATTTAAAGTCTAAATTACTACCAGAATAAATAGGCAGCTAATACTACCTCTTTACTCTGGAAATAAAGCAGCTGTGATTTTAGGCAGGGAAAAAACCATCTTGTTCAAAGTAGGGGATGTCACACCTCTTCTTTTCTCACCTGCATGGAAGAAGTCTCTTAGCACTTAATTTCCATAATAACACCTCAGCCTCTGTCTCTAAATAATTAAGACTGTGGGCTGGGAAAAGCCTCAAATAGGAGCCCATTAGGATGACTCCTGCGGCCTTGAAGATCAAAGCTGGGCATTGTGAGACACTTCCTTTCCCATGGTGCCGGCTCAGGAAGCACACGGAAACGCGGAGCCTGGACTCGCCCCTGGGCCTGTGCAGCAGCTGCTGCCGACTCAGCCTTGTGAGGTTCCTGCTGGTTTTGATTGATGAGTGAAGTTGCTGATCCATTCAGCTTAATGGAGATCCTTTTGGGTAACAGGAGTTTTAGTTCATATGTCTTTTTAGGGACTGATTTTAAAAGGTTTGTTCTCTGAGAGAGGCAGTTTTCTTAGCTACCTCAGGGAATTCAAATTTAAGCTGGGAGTGGTGGCACATATCAGTAATCTCAGCGCTCTGGGAGGCTGAGGCAGGAGGAGGAGGATTTCTACCCAAGTTTGGGCATTTAGTGAGTCATTGCCTTAAAATAAAAAGGAAAAAGTAGAGGCTGGGATGTAGCTCAGTGTGAAGGCCCCAGGATCAATGTTTAATTCTCTAGTGTCACCAAAAACAGGCAAACACACTTATATAAACAAAATATACAACATATATAATATATATATACATATACATATTATATATATAAAATTCAGATGGTGTTTGATAATTTAGATAGAGGCTAGACTTTTGGTTAGGGAACTGATAAGGGAAAGTGAATAAAGAACCCTGAGGCTGCTAGCCTTAGAATTTCCTCTGATTACTTTTTTTTTGGTACCAGGAGTTGAACTCAGGACTTTGCACTTGCCAGGCAGGCACTGTGCCGCTGAGCTATATCCCTGGCCCATCTCTGATTGATTACTTTCGTGTTAATACATGTTATGAAATGTAAATGTTAAAGGTTTTTTTCCATCATGGAAAAATTTAAGAATCCTTTCTAAACTTCAGAGGAAGGGAGACCAGTCTAAATGTTCATGTTTTACGTTCTAGAAACACTTAGGAAATTTAAAGTCCTGCTGGGGTTATGAGAAGTCCTGCAAACCAGAGTTTAGGTTTGGTTCCCCTTTCTGCAGCTACGTGGACATGGGCTGGTAAGTTTCCCTGTGGAATGCACTCCTCGCATGGGAGTCTTTCACACTCTGCAATACGTGTTGATGCCTTAAGTTACAGGTAGATTCTTTTTTATTTTATTTTATTTTTTTAAAGACAGGGTCTCACCATGTCGTTCAGACTGGTCTCAAAGTCATTATGTGGCTCAGGCAGGCTTCAAACTCACAGCAGTCCTCTTGCCTCAGCCTCCTGAGTGCAGGGAATACAGATGTGCACCACCACACTTGGCTATTTTTTTTTTTTTTTTTTGACACAGGTTTTCATTATATAGTTCAGGCTGGCCTTGAACTTACTTTGAAGCCCAAACTGACCTCTAACTCAGCAATCCTCCTGTTTCAGCCTCCCTAGTACAGGGGTTATAGGTGTGTACCACCATACCCAGTGAGCTAGATTCTTTGTATGTTAGATAGTAATTCCTTTCCTAGATGTTAGGTAGTAATTAATCTGTTTATCCAGTCTTAAATTCAGTTTGACTATCTGGAAACCATGAAGCTGGGTCCTGACCCAGCAAGGAACCAGCAAATCACTTTCTTGGCCCTTGGTTCTTTGTGTCCTTGATGAAAGAACTCAGTAAAGACCCACAGGCCGTGGAGAAGTATTGTAGAATTCGTTGTAAATTAGATACAGAAAGGGTTATACCTTCAAGTGAGAAGGCTGGCAGTGGCGCAAAGACATCCGCCTCGAGTGGAGTGTGGATAGCATTTTATGCACACAGAAGTTATTCCTGGAGCTCAGGGAACTAGGATAATTATCCTGCTTATTGTCATTTTGACTTGGAAGTTACTTTGAAATTGCAAAATATCTTTCTGACCCCTTTAGATGGCCAGTGTTTCCTCAGGGGTTTCAATCATCTGTGGAACTTACAAAAGAAAATTTAAGAAAGATAAGTTTTTAATGTAAACCAGGTCCTAGCCCAAGGCAGGAGAGTCTTTAAAGAACATCTTCTTTCCTGGTATCATTGGGCTGTAGGGTATGACATCCAGGAATGCTGTATGGTTGTGGCGCTACACAGCTAGGTGGTCGGATATCAGAAGGTGTCTTAGTTACTTCACTCGTTGCTGAGACAGACCCGACACCCAAAGTTAAAAGAGGAAAGGTTTATTTAGCTCACAGTTTGTAGAGGTTTTAGTCCATAATCAGGTGGCACTAAGGCAGGGTGGCACATGGCAGGGGCCAACAGTTCATGGCAGCCGAAGAGAGCAAAAGCAACAAGAGAAGCCAAGCATAGTGGTGTATACCTGTAATCCCAGCACTCGGGAAGCTGGGGCAGGAGGATCACTGTGAGTTTGATGCCAGGCTTGGCTAAACAGTGAGTTCAAGGCCAGGCTGAACTGCATAGTGAGACCCAGTCTCAAAAAGAAAAAACAAACAAACAAACAAACAAAAACCTAGCAAGAGAGTGAAACAAGCCTCTTTTCTGTCCCGTATATTGCATGTAGTCTACCAGGATCAGGGCAGTGCCAATCCAATCAGCGGACTGATCCAGCAGTCATCCACCTTTAATCAATCACACACTCTAGATTCAGCCACCTCCAAAAAAACCCTATGACCACATTCGGCTTTGGGGGAACAGCTATACACAAACCATAACAGAGGGAATGTGCACAGTATGTAACCTGAAGATGCCGCTGTGCTCTGCGGGAATGCTTTGGGTTTGAGACCTAGTAAGTGATGACAAATATACATTGAAGTCTTGCTTTACTTAACTGGCAACACATGCTGCTTTTGACCCCCTAATCCCTCAGGCCTGCTAACGTCTAACCACCTGCCTGACAGTTTCACATTGGGGTAGGAATATCTGTCATTGCCCCACGGCAGTATGAACTATGGAAACTATTTTCCCCTAGTGCATGCTAAGAAGGTAAATGGATAGTTTTCTCTGGATTCTACAGAGAAGAAAGAAGTGTAGTTATCTTTTCTAATTCACACAGTGTTAATAGGGTAAAGACAGCACGGTAATAGTTCATTGTCAGTTGGGTGTAGTGGCGCACGCTTATAATCCCAGCACTCGGGAGGCTGAGGCAGGAGAATCGCTGCAAATTTGAGGCCAGCTTGGGCTGCAAAGTGAGCACAAGGCCAGCCTGAACTATATAGTGAAATCCTGTCTCAAAAAGACAAAAAACACAACAAAACACAGAACAGTCAGTTGTCTTCTATTCCAAGCTGGGCTGAGAGGCAAGAGGACTGCTGTGAGTTTGAAGCCTGCCTGAGCCACATAATGAGTTTGAGACCAGTCTGAACGACATGGTGAGACCCTGTCTTTAAAAAAATAAAATTAAATTAAATTAAAAAATGCCTGTAATCCCAGAACTCCGGGGTTGAGGCAGGAGGACCCTGAGTCTAGCCTGGACTACAAAGTGAGCTCAAGGCCAGCCTGAATGGCATAGTGAGACCCTGTCTCAAAAAGCCAGAAAAAAAAGTCTTCTATTCCAGATAACCCAAACTTCATACATTTTTGTTATGTCTTTTTATTTTATGTCTGTGCACAATTTAGTTCGGTAACTTCACATATGGTGAGGGAGTTCTAGGAAAAGTATGATAGCGTATTTTAAAAAAATATTAGTAGTAATAAATGTCTAGCAGTTTAACCTATAGAAAGAAAATTCAAGGTCCAGAAAAAAAGTTAAAAAAAACTCAGAATCTTTTCCTTTGCAAATAGGACAGACACTATGGAGTCAGCCAAAGACATCTTCTGGAAACAAGCGGACTTCGGGTACGCCAGGGAGCGGCTGGAAGAAATGCGAGTGCTCTGTCAGCCGGAGAGGACGGTGGGTGTTGAGCTCTGTCATAAGTGAGCCTCTTTACTTCGTTATTTTTAGCCTCTTTACCATTTGAACCTGTTTACCTCAAATCTTTTTAGGTTTAGAATTTCTCCACTCCAACATAGGCTAAAGATGGGAAATTGTGTCTTTACAAATCTCTTGCTTGCTTTGGACAGATGATATGATCCCCCATACTGTTTATGTTTGCTTAGAGCTTTCAGTTTGTGATAAGCTTTTCTGTATGTGGTCTAGTTCAAGACTCACAGTATTATAGCAGATAAGCAGAGAAGGTGCACTGATGCTACTTTCTAGAACAGAAAACAGGTTCTCAGAGACATTCGGCAAAGTCTCCAATACCTATATAACTGCCTTGTAGAGCTGCGCATCTTGATATAAAAGGCACATCTTTTTTTTCCCAGTGTGCCATGCTCCATACCACATTGCATCCCATTAGCTAAGAAAAACATGTGGTCAAAGGATAGTTTTAGTTAGAAAGTACAAGAGTAGGCTCTTGACTACAGAGTTAAAATCCTGACTTGGGCAAGGAGCTCAAAACTTCTCTGTTCTGATTCCCTCAGCCTTAAAGCCGTGACAATTTTGTAGCACACAGGCAGCATGAAATGAGGTTCTGCATATAAAAATGCTCAGTGTAGAGCCTGGCTCCCAACAGAGGTCTCAATGCTATTTTTGATGGAATTTTAAGCACTTATGATTAAGGTGTGTGATATTCTATAATCTGGTGATCCTGAACTGCAAACTCTCTGCCGTCTTGGGGATCTCTATTATCTCCAGAAATTCTGGGAGATTAAAAGAAATGAATTCACTTGCATTTAAACCTGAATAGAGATGTTGTCGTGATGTTGGAGGGTTGGCACATGCTAGAACTATTAACAGTTCTAGCAGAGAGAATCAGGTGCCAAGAGAATTACTAGCACTGCCCCAGGGCACCTGGGGTAGATGCTCTGTGCTGCTTTGCACGCTTTGCTTAGAGTCCAGCTCTTCATGTGGCGAGGGCAAGGACAGGGCCACCATCGTTCCGTGCATCCCTCTGTCATGGTGCCTTGTGGATCACTTCCCTGGTCACAGTTTATTTGGATGTGCTACCAGACTGTGAAACTAACTGTGTTAGTTTTTTGGGGTGCTACAACAAAATACTTTAGACTTGGTGGCCATAAGCAACAGAAATTTCTCTCAGCTGTGGAGGGTAGAAGCCCAGCTTCAGGTGCCAAAACAGTCAGGTTCTGGTGAGGCTCTTCTTCTAGACTGCAGCCAGCCAGCCAGCCACCTCTTGTATCCTCACCTGAGAGCGCTATCTGTGGTTCCTCTTAGGAAGACCCAGTCAGAGTTGTGAGGGCGCCCCTCCTGCTCCAGTCACCCCTAACCCTGTCATGTCACATCAAGAGTTTGGATTTCTGTTTTGGTTTTTTTTTGAGACAGAGTCTTGTTAGTTCAAGGGTAGTCTTACACTCATGATCCTCCTGCCTCAGCCTCCCAAGTGCCAGGATTACAGGCGTGTGCCACCATGCCGGACCAAGAGTTGGAATTTCAACTTGTAAATTTTCCAGGGACACAAATATTAAGTCCGTTGTAATCTTTTACTAATTACCAAATCCAAAATATCATGCTGCTCAAGATGAAGGCCCTGTGTTCATGGGAAGTTTTGGGAAAAATAATAAAATAGCATTTACAGTCCTTGTCTAAATAAAATCCAAAGCAGCAATGTTTCTGAAACACTCACTCTGTCAGCACACTGCAGATTGGTTGAAGTCGAAAGAGGCTCTGCTGGATTCAGTTATTTAGAAGAGATTGCCCTCTGGTTGCTCTTGAGAGAGACTCCCACAGGGTTCGTGGGAAAATCTGGAGAAAGTGCCTCTTATTCACATTGGCAAACTGCCCTTCCAGCCTTGCCTGTGAACTTGCCTAGCACGTGCATTCTTCCTTGTGTCCTTTGGCTTGTCCGCGCAAAGTGCTTTTTCACATAGCTACGGGGGAGTGACGGTTTGCAGTGTTTTTTTTTCCTTTTTTGAGGGGACTGAATTGAACCATATATACAGCTTTTGGCTTTAAAATAGTTAGAGCTGATACAAACAGAGCATGTGGAGTTCTTTTTTTTGGTCTTTTTGAGACAGGGTCTCACTATGCAGTTCAGGCTGGCCTTGAGCTTGAGCTCACTTTGTAGCCCAGGCTGGTCTCGAACTCACAATGATCCTCCTGCCTCAGCCTCCCGAATGCTGGGATTACAGGCATGTGCCACCACGCCCAGCTGGAGTTCTTCACCGCAACATTAAAGTGTGGAAACCAAAGTGTATTTGGCTAAGTTCTGCTGGGTGGGGGAGAACCCACGGATAAGCGGTTGCAGTGTGCGGACAGTTCTCCCATCCTGGGGCTGCGCTTGCTGTTACCCTGCCTTGCATGTCTGGTGAGTTCTCAAAATGTCGAGGCTCAGGGGCAAGTTTTCCTTCTTGTCAACCTTGTTTCAGGGTGACTCGAGCCTGGTGTGTTCCCGTTACCTTCAGTACTGCAGAGCCACCCATCTCTACCTTGACTTAAGGAACATCAAGAGGAATCACGACAGGTATTTAAGTGGATGATGCTAAACTCCAAAGAATTCTGCTACTTTTGTGTAGGTTGTTTGTTTGTTTGTTTTGCAGGGTTGGGGTTTGAACCCAGGGCCTCTTGAATGCCAGGCAGACAGTCTGCCACTGAGCTACATCCCCGACCCTACTTTTGTATATGTTTAAAATTTTCTATTTTAAATAAAGAGTCTGCCAAAAAAAGGTATGCATACTTTAGGAAAGGAAAAACTTGTAGAAATATATTAAGATTAAATTTATGGAGATATCATGAGATTAACACAAGTTACCTGCGGACTCTACAATTACAAGAGGTGCTCAGAGTGGTAGCCGTGAGCTTCCAGACATTTATTAGTGTGGTGAATGCTGCTTGGGTGACTTCGTCATTGAGATTGCTACACAGGCATTTTCAGTTTTTTCTCTAAAGCCAGCAGTGTAGTGAGTTTTCTGCTCTATGTGACCTCCTCTAGAGGTCTCCATACAAGGGTAACACCATCTATTGAAAAGACCTCATACTATTTTCTTTTCCTGAAGTGTATATACGTTATTTTTGGCGGGCTCTCTACATTCAAGCTTTGCTTAACAGAGGGGATCCATTAGGTGATTCTATCGCTGTGCAAACACTGTCGAGTGTATTTGCACAGTATTTTTTTCCCACTAGTGGGGACTGAACCTAGGGCCTTCACCCTGAGCTCATCCTCAACCTTTTTTTTAAGAAAAGGTATTACTAAGTCACAGAATTGTGCAAGCTGGGCTCAAACTTGCAGTCTTCCTGCCTCAGCCTTCCAGAGTGCTGGGATTACAGGTATGTGCCACTGTTATGGTTGATACACTGTGTCAACTGGAGTCTAAAGGCTTGGCTAAGTGACTCAGCAGTTCTGCATCCTGGGGCGAAAAGGACATGCCCTTCCTGATCTAGGATGTTTTTTGGTATCCAACCTGAGCCTGTGCAAGAAGAGGGCACTGAGACGGTGTGGGTGTGAGCGGACAGCCAGCGTACAGTGTAAGGGAGGAAAACAGGTTTGTTCTCCTGCCTTTTTGCTCGTGCTGCTTTTGCTGTCTTGTGCCACCTTGAAGCGTGGCCCCTGTGCCCTGCGACCCTGCCTTGCAGCCAGCTGATTATAGACTGAAACCCCCACAAACTACGCTAAATAGACCTTTCCTTCCTTAATTCTGGGCATCAGCTATTTTGTCTCAGCAATGAGAGAAAAGTAACCAAAGACAGCTACCATACCAGGCTTCACACAAACTTAGATACCTGCAGCGCCACTAGATATAATCTGAGGGGATCACAGTCCTTTATGTGGTTGGTTGTTGACTGGAACGTCATTAGGTAGGGCATGCTTGTCTTTAGGTTCCAAAGAAAAATTGATTTTGGAAACTGGTAATCCCATTTAGTTACAGCCCATGAGCTGGAGTCATGAAAACGTTTTTCAAACTCAACCTTTTTTTTTTTTTGTACACTAGATTCAAGGAAGATTTTTTCCAGAATGGTGAAATTGGAGGACACTGTAAACTTGACTCTCGTACATTGATGTCTGAAGGTCAGCGCAAAAGCCCCCTGCAGTCTTGGTAACATGATTTTTTAATACATATCTAAATGTGCTTTTATTTTTGGTCCTTGCGGATTTTGCTAGGGACTCCAAAATGGAAAATTTACTGATGTTGCAGATAATTTTAGGTAAATGTTACTTAATTTGTATAAGCTCTAGCTTCTGAGGAATGGTGGTTACAGGCAAATTCCTCAGTATAACTGAACTGAACATGTTTATAAAAAATTAAGAAATATGATATAGCACTGTTGTTTGTAAATGAAAGCAAAAATCATTTTAAAATTAATTTAATTTATAGTTGGTACATGTGTTTTGGGGAACACTTTCTTAGGAAAAATGAGTGTGTATTGAAATACATTGATACCTCGATTGTTGAATGGCTCCAAGCTCAAATTTTCCACTATTCAAACAGCAAAGTTTGAAAAGAAATCTGTTCAGTGTTCATAGCTTCACTTGAAAATCAAACTGAAAATCAGACTTGAAACAGCCTGTATAAACTGGGCATGATGCTGCACACCTGTAATCCTAGCACTTGGGAAGTTGAGGCAGGAGGACCAGCATGAGTGGTCCAGCCTGGTCTATATAGTGAGCTCCAGGCCAGCCTGGACTACATAGTGAGACCCTGTCTCAAAGTAAAAAACAAAAGATCCCCACAAAACAAAACAGAAAGAAAAAAAGCAAGAAGAAAGAAAAGAAAAGAAAGGAAGGAAGTCTTGAAAGAAAGAAAGAAAGAAAGAAAAAGAGAAGGAAGGCTTCACAGGCCTCACAGAATGAGTAATGCACTGCATTTCACAGTGGATACCAGTGAGAGATGCTTCCGTCTAAGCACCGCTTCCCCCCAGACAACACGTGCTTGTGTTGGTGCATTACAGCATTTGTCACTGTGCTTTTTTTGTGCTTTATTTGTGTAACATATTGTCACCATGGCTTCAGAGAAAGCTAGTGACCACCAGCAGTACAGCTCAGAGCAAAACAAAACCACAGTAAAGAAAGAAATCATTGCAAAATTTGTTAAAGTCCTGGAAAAATGAATTTATACGTGTAATTTTTAGGCCTCAGAACCAATGATTTGGTTTTCCATTATTTCTTATGGGAAAAATATGTCCCGTTCTCAAACTTTTGTGTCTGAACACAAATTTGGAATGAATTGTGTTCGAGAACCAAAGTATCACCGTCTGTAACAAACACACAAAAGAGTGTGCAGTTTGGATTATGAGAAGTGAACCCACCAGTGTAACCCTTATCCAGGCTGGAATGCAGAGTATTACCAGCACCCGGTCTCCCTTCCAGGTCCTTCCCCCTGACTTTTATTACCATTGATCAGAGTTTTGAACTTTAAAACTCTTCTATTTTGAATTAGTTTTGACTCATGAAAATTTAAAAATAGTACAGGAAGTTCCTATTGTACCATTACCCCGGCTTCCAGAGATAAAAATATCTCATATAACCCTAGCACAATGACCAAAGCCAGGAAACTGTCACTGGCACAGTATTACTAACTAAACACAAGGGTGTGTCACCATGTTTAGATGCGGTCATTTGTTTGGGTGTCTAGTTCATATAATTTATATCACATGTGTAGGTCCAAGTAGCTACCAACCCAATCAAGATGAGGAATTAGTCCATCATCCAAGGAAGGGATGTGCCTACTTTCATTGTCACATAGGCTACTCTTCTGTAATGTTAGTTTCGGGGGACATACATTCATGTTGAGCAGACCATTCAGAATAGTAACCTGCCCTTCATCAGTACTGTGTTTTGCAGTCTGCACCGAAGTTCCTCACGTGAAGGAACAGATTTTGACAGTAGGTAGTTGCTATGTTGTATGGGGCATTTTCTTGCCTAGTATGTATTGATATCTGATTTTATATCAGAGTTACCTAGGGTGTGATTGTACTATGTATTTATTGTTGTATAACATGTCATTACAAAATATACCTCTAGTGCATGTTTGTATTTGTTATCTATTGCTGTGTAACAAATTACTCCGAAATGTAAAAGCTTAACAGGGCAAACGTTTAGTTTCTCACATTGTGATGGTCACAATTTGTGAAGAGCATAGCTGGGTCTCTCTTGAGGTCGCTGTCAAACTTGGCTAGAGCTGTCACCTTCTCTAGGCTCAGCTGGATGGGAAAATGTATTTCTGAACTCACCATGGTTGTTGTAAGCCTCAGTTCTTCTCTGACCATTGGCCCAGGATTAAGTTTTCACAGTAAGGCCTCACCCTCGTGCCGCTCACAGCACAGCTCCTGCTTCCTCCGAGCTGAGTCCACTCTGGAGTGATGTCCTGTCACTTCTGCTGTGTTCTGTTGGTGAGGGGTGAGCCTCAGAATTATGCCCACACCCAAGGGAAGGGAATTCACCTCCACTTCTTGCAGGGAGAAGTACTGAAGTATTTGCAGACATATTTTCGTAACCACTGTGGTCTTCTGTCAATGTGTTTTTCAAAGGATCTTTTTGGTATTTATTTTCCGTGAAGTGTGATCTCAGAGACAAAGAGTTATAGATGATCTTTATGTTAGCTCTAAATGTCTGTTGTCACATGCTTGTGGTGGTCTTTGATTTGGAAGAAAACTGTACCACGTCACTTCCAAAGACAATTTTTGAGAAAAAGACTTTTCCTTCCTCAGAGATGCTTAGTTGTTGGTGTCTTTTGGAGTACTAAGTAATTTTTGGAGTGCCATCTTTCTCAGACTCCACAGCTGCTACAGCAAGAGTTCCTCTGACACATTGTTCACTTTGAGCCTCATTAAACTATAGGAAATCTTGTTGAAGCGTCCCACTTCACTGGTAGATTATTTAGCCAACTGCAATATAAGTTTCCTCTTTGTGTGGTAGGTTCCCAATTTAACTGTTTTACACAAGATGTTTTTTTTTTTTGTGGGTACTGGGAATTGAACTCACGACCTTGTACTTCCCAGGCAGGCAGTGTGCTGCTGGGGTATATCACCGGCCCTGAGGTGATTTTTAAAATTTAATATTCAAGTTGATATGAAATTATATAAATGACAGTAAGGGAGAGAGGCTACATGTCTCCGTAGAAGTGCTTTTACATATTAGAAATAAAATTGACCTAATCAACAGATAGCTCCTAAGTTACAGTAATCACTTTGAAATTTATATGCCATTTCATCATTCCAGGTTTGCTGAGCTACAAAGCTATACTCAGCTCAACTTCAGACCTATAGATAATGCTGAATGTGACATTGTTATTGAAAAACCAACATACTTCATGAAATTAGATGCAGGTAAGAAGTTAATTTTTCTGGTATCTATAGGTTGGTTAATGTCATGTACATATAATTTTTATAAGTATATAATTTATGTGTTTATGAATTTTCTTTGGATTTTTAAAAGAGTACTATGACACATAGTAGATTTGGTTCTTGCTTTCTTCTCGGAAGTAGATGAACTAGCTGGAATTTCCTGTTACTTTGTACTTTGAGTATTCATTTTTTTTGTCTTTTTGAGGCAGGGTCTCCCTATGCAGTTCAGGCTGGCCTTGAGCTCACTTTGTAGCTCAGGCTGATCTCAGACTTGTGAATAATCCTCCTGCCTCAGCCTCCCAAGTGCTGGGATTATAGGCGTGTGCCACCACACCTGACACACTTTGAATAGTCTAGAAGAGACCTGTGTATTTACATCAAATCACTCACTCAAAATTTGAAGGTGAAAGAAGGCATGTACACCTTTCCACTAAATTTACCCCCGCTGGTTGCTCTAATTACTTGATTTAAATTGTTTCATTACAATTATTGTTAAATACAAAGGAGGAAAAGAAATTTCTATAACCTCACCTAGCAAACTTACTAATATTATTTCCATGACTAAAGTGAATTTAAAATTCTTTAGGAAGTCACACTGTAGTATATAATCTTGGGAAAAAAATTAGAATTAGTTTCCATTTATGCCTACAGGCGCTAAGTCTCAGCTTGCAAGCATAACTTTAACTTTGTGAACTAGTTGCCCTAGACAGGAGAAGCACAGATCATTCTATATTGTCTCTCTCATTATGACAGACAGGGATTACTGTGCGACATCATATCAAAATTCATGAGAGGCTGGGCCTACAGTGAAATATAGCGAGTCCTCTGTCACGAATATTTGGGAATTACCATAATTTATTGATCATAGTTTTAATGTGCTCTCCTTTCTGTAGTCATAATTCTTATATTACAAAGTATTAGATTCAGAAATCAGACAAGTTTAGAATGTTGAAATAAGAGCAAGTAAAAATGCTATGTTCAAGGTTCTGACTCATTTCTTAAAATTATGCAAATTAAAGAGGCAAAGAAAACAGTGATCTGCCTATAAAAGAGGTGAGTATGCATGAGCCAGTGAATTTATGCAGATCTGATGCAATAAAGTAGGTAGAAGGAGAATAATGGGCTAAGGTAGATGTGTGCCTTTTCTTTCCTATATTCATAACTCTGCTTTTTCCTCTTAGGCTGTCGTCCAACTTTTCTTTTCTTATTAACTCTTACCTTGGGCGAGCGAGCATTTCTACAGAACAGGGCTCACCGGGGCGTGTTTCTCAGCGCTGAAGCCCTTGTTTGTTTGCGCCTTCATTTATAAATCCTGGTAGCACTTGCTGAATTCTCTAGTTAATGTTAGGAGCTCCCTCAGTGTTACCCGAGAGCTGATGTTCCCTGGGTAGCTCACCTGGGCGAAGGAGGGTGCGTTCTCATAGAACTCGGTTTTCCTTAAGCTGACAATGTGCTATTTGCCAGCATGTTTCTGGCTGAAAAAAAGTAGCCCTCCCAAACATTCATCTAAGATAACCACGCTGGAAAGAGCTGAGCATTTTTCACCCATACTTTCTGGAACACACTGTTACTATTCACTATGAGGAGGAAGTCAGACTATTTTATGATATCCGCTTTTGGAAGTCACCGTTCTTCTTTTACTCAACTTTTTCCTTCCTTGAAAATGCACATGTTTAAGTGTCACTTCTGTTTTTTTCCTAATGACTGGCATTAGAATTTATAAATGGTGGCAGCCTCAGTGCTGTCTGCTCTGTCTGGCCCCGTGGGGCACAGCTGGCCTCTCACCATGTGCCAGACGTCAGGATGGCACTGGAGCGTGCATCCTTTTGGATTTCTTATGACAAAGCTGGCGCGGAGGTCTGACTACTGCCCATTCCAGTAGAGCGCCCAATGCTTACAGACTACGAATTTACCTAGGAGACTTGCTCATGAACGACTGAGCTGGAATTCAAGCCAGTTCTAACTCCAGAGTTTATGCATTTTCAATTTGGGCATGAGACATTCATCTCTTTTAATTATCTTTTCTTTGTTTTTTTCCTGCTACCGGGAATCGAACTCACGACCTTGTGCTTGCCAGGCAGGCGCTGTGCCACTGAGCTAAATCCCCAGCCCATTCATCTCTTTTAAATGATAGTTGGTCAGTATTTTCTCAGGAAGAATACCATGAGCAGTGATTAAATAGGGCCAAAAGAGACATGAATGAAAACCACCAAAATGTTAGTAGTTGCTGTCATACTTGCATCAACAGTACTTCCGGGAATAGGCGTTGCTTAATTGATTTTTCAAAAAGTGATCAAAAGGAATAAATAACCTTATGAAGTTATTGTTCTACCCCATTTTGGGTTAAATAGATCTACATGGCTTTTTTCTGGGAACTTAATTTGTTATTTGGGTTATATGGGGAAATACATCCTGATTTCCAAATACCCAGTTTAAAAAGCAAAGTTTTGAGCCCAATGGATTTGTAAACGGACTGTATTTCTGTGTAGATTATGTTCAGGAAAAAAATCACTGTTTTCCCTCATTTATTTCAACTAAAAGTCCTTTGAACTGTAAGCAGATGGGATGGAATAAAAATTGTTTAATCACTAATTAACACAGATTTCTCTTCTCCGATGCTAGGGGTTAACATGTATCACCACTTCTGTGATTTCCTCAACCTGTACCTCACCCAGCACGTCAATAGCTCGTTCAGCACGGACGTGTACATCGTGATGTGGGACACCGTAAGTTAAGAGTGTGCTCGCCGCTGCCGCGGGTTTCCACCCCGCCCTGCCTGGTGTGACCGCCCTGGGCAACACGACTGCGGAGACACCCTTTAAGGAGGCGCCGCCCGTACGTGCGGCTCCACGCGCGCCCTCGGGTGTGAGCGTGTCTGCTCGTGGGCACTGAGAGACGCATGCAGAGGCAGATACAGACGCTCACCTGTGTGTCTTCCGTGGAGTTTTGAATTTTAGACTGCAGCAGCGGGAGATTTCTCTGCCCTGGTGCTTAGGTGGCGTTCGCAGCAGCCGCTCTGCGTTTGCCTGGGTGTTCCGCTGCTGTAGGACGCAGGAAGCCCGTCCCGCACTCGCCCCAGCACTGCGAGAGCTTCTGTTTAGTTTGGCCTCTTGAATTGACTCTACCATCTGCCTGTCCTTCCTTTTCCTTTTCCTCTTTTTCCTCTTCCTTTTCTTTTTCCTCTCTCTCTCTTTCTCTCTGTGTGGTGCTGGGGCCGGGATGCAGGCCTGTCTCTGCTAGACCTGCTCTCTTCCCCTGGGCTCCTTGGCCCCTGCCTTTGCATAGTAATAGCCTTCGCATCACTATTTGCTTCGGGCCGCGCTGGCTGCCGGTTTCAGCCACTGTGAAGAAGTGCGTCTTAGACACGCACGGAAGCACATGTGTTGGGTCACGCCTGCTCTGTACTTGTTTTTAGTAGTCTTTCCCACTTCTCTTTCTTACTTGCCTTTCCCCTGCTTCTTCCACTTCTGACCCTTCCGGTTGCGCAGGTCACCCCAGGGTGGGCCTGGCGTCCTCGGCTGTAAAATAGAATAGAGCGAGAACCTCAGTGTCACCTTCAGGAAGAAGCACAGTGTGCAGTCACGGTTTCCGGCGCGTGGCTCACGTGCTCTGAATATTGACCGGAGGTGGTGATGGTAGTGTACACCACGGGGCTTCCCTGCACCGGGCAGCAGGAGCCCCAGCTTGGGTCACCGAAGGTTCAGCTAAATAGCCTGACTCGGGATGCTCCTGTGTCCCTGTCCGGGAGAGTCAATTCGGGCTCACATTCATGGGGACGCCCAGGGAGCCTGGTCTCCCAGCAGAAGCGGAAGGGGTCTTGCTGTGCCCTTCTTCACAGGCAGGGGGCTCCTGGGAGAGCCGCGCTCAGGGCTCCCCGTGCTGTCGGTGCAATGCAGACTCTGCTGGTAGGGGGTTCTGCAGCTCCTGCCTGCGGGCGCTTTCTTCGGTGTCCTCCTTCCCGGAAGTTTCTACTTCCGGCTTGAGCTCCAGTTTTGCTGACACCGTCGTTTTGGAAGTGTGCGAGCAAAGGGAACTGTCCTTTGTTTTGTTCTTTTTGCTTATGTGTTTCTAGGCCATGATCAAAACAGCTCCAAAAGCTCTTAAAGAATTATGCCAGAGGGTTGGGGATGTAGCTCAGCGGCACAGTGCCTGCCTGGCAAGCGTGAGGCCCTGAGTTCGATTCCCGGCACACAAAAAATTATACCTGATGTTATCTCATTTAATACTCCTGTGCTTCAGTGGACGAGGGATTTTGTTTGCTGCTTTTGAACTCAGTTTTGGTTTGCTGGGGTTTTGTTGTTGCTGTTGTTGTTTCTTTGCTATTAGCTGGTTCCTCAGACCCGGACCGGAGGCCTGAGCCACCGGTGAGTGTTCTGAGATAACACATTATGCAAGGCAGGGAGTCACGGGTTGCAGCCCTGGGCTTGGGAGCCGCGGTGCTTTATCACCTCTCTGTGTGGTGCTCCAGGGACCCTGTGAGGCTGAGAAATGCTTCTCAGTTTCCCGAAACTTTCTGGTCCCCTGTGGGATACTTTTCTGCATCTTCCTCAAGTGGACTAAGGTAAACCGAGCCGGGGTCTGCACCCTGCACCTTGTGCGCCTACTGGGGTGGAGCAGGATGTGTGCACCCCAGCAGCTCGGTGAGCTGACAGTGAAGTGAGCACAGGCTGACTTCAGCGCTGGTGAGGGTGAGCCGGGTGGGTGGGGATGGGCAGGGCGGATGTGGCCGGGCAGGCTCGTTGGCTGCGCTGGTGCTGCCTGCCTCTCTGTGGAGCTTGTAAACCTGTGTTCTGACCTAAGAGGCCTTTGCTGTCCACTCAGTCAGGTTCTCCACCACGCAAGTCTGCCAGGTTGCTCCAGAATTCTGGCCCACGGAACCTGTACGTTGGATGGGTGCAGTGCTGTGGGGCTGGGCAGTTACTCGGTGTTTCTCTCCCTCCCTCTCTTTAGTCCTGGCTGTGGAACCCAGGGCATTCACCCTGAGCTCCCCCCGCCTTTGAAAACATCTTGTGATGGTGTCCAGCTGAGTGGCCTAGGCGAGGCTCACACTTGGGACTCTCCTGCCTCAGCCGTCAGGAGCACCAGGAGCACAGGCCTGTTGTACCATGCCTGGCTTTGACGATTTCCCTTTTGTTGCAAGGTCTTAAGCAACAGTGTGACCTGCAGACTGTGACGTGCATCCCCACAGTGGATGGAGTGGGCGCACAGTCAGTCTTGAAGGCCTTGGGGCAGCAGTTTGTCCGAGGACAGAGTTCACCCACTGTCCCTACCTGGAAGCCTGTGGAGCCTTTCCTCTCGTCACAAACCCGAGTGCTTTGTCCCCCTCTTCAGGCACACAGACGGCAGCCCCGGTGCTGGCAAAGCCACCAGCCTCCTGGGATAGAGAGGGCTCTTCCTCAGACTGTCCTTCTGGGCAAAGAGGGGTGGCTCTTACTAAAGGGAGTCGGTAAAGGGGAGATTGCTGCAGACTCTCTACAATTTCCTGTCTAGTGTAAATATTTCTCTTTAATATGAAAGTGGCCTCTGCTTATATTGAGTTCAAATAACACAGATGTTAAAAAACATCCTCCTCCAATTCCATTGTCCTGCAAGGGTAACTGCAATTAGTGTGTCTGAATTTTTGGCAAGATTCTTTTCATCTTAATAAATAAAAGTAAATATATCTGTATCCAAATTTATATCAGGTTTTATATGAGGGCCTGTGTATATAGATATAAAATTTGTATAAAGGTACATTTATATCTCTATAGAAAATATACTCTTACATTGTCCCCTTAATATTATATCATAGACAAATCTCTGAGTGATTACATTCAGGGTTATCCTTTTATGAGCAGTTACATGGTGGTCTATATAATGGATATTTTAGATCTCGGAGGCACATGTGGTTGCATGTGTGTACTCTTTCCACAGCAATCATATTTCATTCATTCCTAATTCTGTGCTATATGTTGAAAGTTGGTAAACATATAATCATCCCTCAGTATCTATGAGGAGTTTCCTGTGGATAGAAAAATATTCAAGACATTTACATTCCTTGTATAAAATATGTAGTACTTGTCTATAACCTGTGCAATTCTACTATATACCTTAAATCATTTCTAGATTATTTGTAGAACCGAATACAATGTTGTACTGTGCTGTTTCTGGGATAATAATGAGAAAAACGTGTCCACATGGTCGGTAGAGACTCAGTATGCTTTCTGAATATTTTCAATTCATAGTGCTTGAATCTACAAACACAGGATGTGCATATTCAGCCCATTGGATATGGACACAGTGAATTTTTTCATATTTTCACACACTATAGCGTTTCTGTCAGACAGATTCTTGTAAGAGGGATTTCTAAATTATAGGTGGTATGTATGTTCAAATTTGAGACCTATATAGGAAGAAACCTTATATCATATTCAGGATATCCAAATATTCTTCAGTTTGAGAGTAGGAAAAATCTCCTTCTTCATCTGTGGCAGACAGTTTGAATTTGGGGGACATAAAGATGAAGTTTCTAGAGGTGCTTATTACTAATTTCCCTTAGAAGGGATCAGTCAGATTATTTTATTATTAAAATTTCCTTTCAAAGGTATCTTATTTTATCTGAAGTATTTTATCTTAAGAAACTGTCTAGAACCACTTCTTTTAATTGCCCTTTATTTATTATTGAGCCTGAGCAGTGATGTTTCATTTTGGATGATGCTGAGAAGGTCCTTTACTAGAAGAGCATTGGAGAAGCGCTGAAGGAAGGATTTTTAGAAAATCACTACACCTAACAGTTCTCAATAACTTTGAAATAACTGTGATGCGTAAAACATAAAATGTTTAAAATATGAAAAAAATGCTATGACGGTAAAAAGATTTAAACATAATAGACCTAAATACAACCAAATGTAGACTTCAAATGTAACGCTGAAATGCATATTTCATATTTTCCTTGGCTGAATATATTAATCTGTTATACCATTTGAAAATTAATTGATCTCTGTCTTTAGCCAATGCAACTTGTAGTTAACTTCTGTTTTTCAGAAAAAGAAGATGCACTTGGTAAATACAGGCCACTGTCATCTGGAGTTTATGAGCATCAAATCTGAAATCACAGATTAATCCAGCTCTGTAATCACAGATGTACAATTTAGGCATATTACTTAAATTTGTGTCCCAGTTTGCTGTTCTGTAAAATAGGGATAATCGTCTCACCTAGCTCCTAGGTTTGTGGGGTGGCTTAATGAGTTAATGGCATTAAGGACTTAGCACGATGCCTGGAACATAGGCAGTGTGCAAGGTGCTGCTATTATTGCTGTAGAATATTGTTATAATCATGCCATTCACATTAATGCTAAGGGGAACTTCTCAAATGTTATTCAGTAGTCACTGGGAAGAACATTTCATAATTATATACACTATACTTTTAATGTTAAGCCTTTTAAGCTGTTTTCTTGCTTTGAAATTCCTTGCCAAAGATAGTCATTTACCTTGGTTGTTTGTTGCTCACCAAACCACAAACATGTATATGTGCATAGATGGTAGCGTGAATATATGTTGTGTATCTGTGGTATGGATTGAAATTTCATGGAAAAACCCCATAACTTATAATTTCAAAGACATGAGAATGAAACAGGTTAGGGTAGAAAAATGATACAGAGTTAACACGCTAAGAAGTGATTGTGGTGATTATTTCTGAATACATTTAATCAAATCAGGCATTTGTTCAGGCCCCAGAGGAAAAACAATTGTGTTATGTGGTTTTTATGACCTTAGTTAGGATCATAATGTAATTTAACACTAACAGGCAAATTCAGTGTTTTTTTTTGTTTGTGCTTTCACTGTAACTTGTTTTATTTCCACCTCCAGAGCTCTTACGGATATGGTGACCTGTTCTCCGACACTTGGAAAGCATTTACTGACTATGACGTGATACACTTGAAAACTTACGATTCCAAAAGGGTACTGGAAGCTTTACTGAAATGTCTGTAAATAGCTCATGTACAGATGAATTACTCGTAAAATAAGTGTTTAATTTGAGTTTTTATTAGCTATTACCATTGATGTCTGACTCCGTGGTTTCTTTTGTTATAACTGCTGTCCTCATTTTTATGAACCATGTGGCTTTTGAGAACATTTTTCTGTAACTATAAATTTTATTCTTTTTGAAATCCTCTGCTATTCAAACTATTTTCATGAGAACTGGAGATTGGCGTGGTGGCGCACGCCTGTAATCCCAGCACTCGGGAGGCTGACGCAAGAGGATCCTTACAAGTTCAAGGCCAGCCTGGGCTACAAAGTGAGCTTAAGGCCATCTTGAACTGCATAGTGAGACCCAGTCTCAAAAAGAAAAGAAAATAGAATTTACTTTCCAAGCTTATAAGCGCTGTTTTGGTGTGAAGGGTGCAAATTCTTCTATCTTTTAAAATATTTTCATTCTTAGGTATGTTTTAAAGAAGCTGTCTTTTCATTGCTGCCCCGCATGAGGTATGGGCTGTTCTACAACACTCCTCTGGTAAACATTTTATGATGACATTTGTACAGAGTTTGGGAGCATCTACGTGGCCAGGAAAAAGTCTTCCTTGTAATATGAACTGGTATTTTCATTTTAGATATCTGGCTGTCAAAATACTGGGTTGTTCAGGGCCTTCTCCCAGCATGTACTGCACAGGCTAAACATCACACAGGAAGGACCCAAGGTAATGGACGCATTGTGGGTTCCAAGGTGGGCTTGATTTTCTTTTTTTTTTTTTTTTTTTTCTCCAGTACCGGGAACCGAACTCACGACCTTGCACTTGCCAGGCAGGCGCTTTTTGCCGCTGAGCTAAATCCCCAGCCCCTTTGATTTTCTTTTTTATCCCTAATCAAAATTAATACTATGTCAGCAGGAGAAGAAATAATCAGGATACAGTGTTTTCTGTGCTAATGTTTTCTGACCTGGGGTTGTCAGCAACTGTTAAAGATAAAGCTATCGTAAGAATGTGGTTTTTGTTCTTTTTCTTTTTCTGTTTCTTTGGCCATTATCTCTCCACTTCTCCCAAGTCCCCTCCAGCCCACAAAATCCCTGCCACTCTACCAACCAACAGCCAAGCAGTGGTATACTGAATAGGTTTTGTCTTCCATGGCTAAAGTGAATACCTTGATTTTTATTTTTAATCAACACATAACAATTATACATACTTAAGTACTACAGTCTAATATTTTGATACATGATATAATGTATTATGATTAAAGCAAGGTATTTAGCCCATCCACTATCTGAAACATCTATCATGTCTATTGTTGGGAGCATTCAACATCCTCTCTTCTAGTTATTTTGAAATATACAACAAATTTTTGCTAAATATACTCACCCCACCATCTTAGTTAGTTTTTTCACTGCTGAGACAAAATACCCGCAAAGTTAAAGGAGGAAAGGTTTATTTAGCTTGCAGTTGGTAGAGGTTTCAGTCCATAATCAGCTGGCTCCAAGGCCGGGTGGCGTGGCAGAGATGCATCACAGAGGAGAAAAGCTGATGGCAGGCAGAAGACAGCAAGAGCAAGCAAGCAACCAGTGGTGACAATGGCAGCTTCTTTCTGCCCTGTTATCTTCTAGTTAGGCTACCTGGCTTAGGGCAGGTGCCAAACCAATTGGCGGACTGATGCAATGATCACACACTCTAGATCCAGCCACCTCTGAAAAAGCCCACCTATGGCTGCCTGAGGGTTTGGGGGACACCTAGACACAGCCATAACTCCCCACTGTGCCGCAGAACACTAGAAAGTTACTCTGCCGTTGTAGCTGCATTTCCGAACCCGCTAACCCTTTTCTAGCCTCTCCTCCTCATCCCCCTCCCTCTGACAACCACTACTGTGTTTTACTGCTTGCTTCTGTGAGATCAGCATTTCAGCTTCTGCAAAGAAGTTAGAACATTACGCTTTCTGTGTGACGTTACTAAACAAAACACGACTTTAGTTCATGGGTTGCCTCCCCACACGCTGAACTAAATTCCGTCTCCTCACCACAGTCTGTGAGGTTAACAGAACGTGGCCTCTCTGACCAGGCCTCGCTGGGCCAGTCCACCACAAATGATGGAATCTTATTCCTCTTTTATAGCTGAGTAATATTCCGTTGTGTATATGTCCCACATTTTCTTTTAAAGTGGGTATATTTGTAATCTTTCAAAGTGTAGTGGTGAGGGACTCAGCTGAAAATTATTCTATAAGTAAACCTTATTGACTTTCATCTCTTTCTGAAAATCACTTCTGAGGATCAGATGTTCCTTCACTGGTCCAGATATATCCAGCATTATTTTGCTTTTTCATTTTGATTACAGGATGGAAAAATTCGAGTCACCATTCTTGCCCGGAGCACAGAATACCGGAAAATACTAAACCAAAATGAGGTTAGTTTTTTGACATATGTTTTTAATATCATTGTATTGAGTTTACCTCCTATGACTAATGCTTTTATTGCTTCATGTTTTTTTTTTTTTTTTGAGACAAGGTCTCACTATGCAGTTCAGGCTGGCTTTGAGCTCACTTTGTAGCTCAAGGCTGGTCTTGAACTCAAAGCAACCTTCCTGCCTCAGCCTCCCGAGTGCTGGGATTACAGGCATGTGCCATCACGCTGGGCTATTGCTTCATGTTATATTTAAAGCTTTGCTTTGAAAATATTACTTGTTTGAGAAGTTTGGTGGCCTGTGCCTAGCTCAGCGGTTGGATCAGTGGCAGTCCCCAGGTTCGGTCCCTAACACCACTCCGAAAGTACACTGAGCACCGGCCACAAAGCAGGGCACATTCTCAGCTTAGTTCCACATAGGGGGAAGCTATCCAGAAATGTTAAGCAGCGTGTGGGTAAACAGAATAGTGTGTCCTCTGCCCTTTGAGAGATTCCCAGGTCCTAATCCCTGGCACCTGTGAAAATTACATGGTAATTCAAATTATGGTTGTAGGTGGAATTAAGGTTGCTAATCAGCGGGCCTTAAGTAGGGAAATAGCTCGGAATTATCCAGCTGGGCTCAGTGTAACTAGAAACGGGTCACAGACGAGGACGTTTGCCTCAGCCTGCAAAGCTCTTTTCTTTGACCTCACAGATCAGATCACATTTCATTACTTCCTTAGAAGTAGGAGAGAGGAGCTGGGCGTGGTGATGCATGCCAGTAATCTCAACACTGTAATCTCAGGAGGTCATAGGTTCTAGTCCTGCCTAGGGGACTTAGTGAGACCCTGTCTCCAAATAAAAAGATTAGAGAAAAGGGCTGGTGATGTAGCTCATTGTAGAGGCCCTAGGTTCAATCCATGGTACCAAAAAAGAAAAAAGAAAAAAATAAAATGTCGGAGAGGGAGGGAAGGAGATATGAACAGGGAAGCAGGTTCAGTGCTACTGCAGTGGAAGGTGGAGGAAGGGGCCCCAAGCCTTCCTGTGTAGATCGCTCTTAGGCGCTGGAAGAAGCAGGAAGTAGATTCTCCCTGACAGTTCTTAGGGAAGATATAGCCTAGAAGGAACGCACCCCTGCCGAAGGCTTGCATTAGTCCAGTGACACCCTTGTTGGACTTCGATCCAGCAGAACTGTCGGAGGAGAAGTCACGTTGGTTTAAGCTGCTGAGTTTGTAGTAATTTGTTACAGAAGCAAATAAAAAACAGATAGACAGGGAGAGACATGCATTGACTTATTATTTACTTTTAAATTGCTCTCCCTGCAAGAGAAGGAACAGGGAGATTGATCAGGAGCTGTTACTACAGCCCAGGGGAGAGAGCTTGGATGAAGGCGATGACAGTAGAGATGATAAATGGATTCAAGATACAGTTTGGGGAGATGACCTGTGACACTTTTGGACCATGCTTGGGTGCATTAGGTGGGGCCAGGGAAGGTACTAAGAATCAAGTGTGGTCCCAGGCTTTTAGCTTGAGCACTTAAGTGGGATTGAAATGGAACAAACTTAGTAAGGAGGAAGCAGGGTGGGTTTTGATGGGCGAGGTCTTTTCTGTAGATTAATTTGAATGTTTCATAGGCTGATCAAAATTATGCAGTGGGCATCTCTTTCTGGGAGCCATGAGGACATGAACATACGTTGTAATGAGGCATTGATTGTAAGCTATGAGGGTGGAGGAAAGGAGCAGTGTATGTGTGTGTGCAAAGTTAAAAATACAAGTGTCCTTCGGTGTCCTCGGGAGTTACGCCTTGTGGACGGCGCATTCTGCAGATACGTAAAATGACGCACTGTTTGGCCAAGACCCACATGCATCTTCCTGTGAACTTCAAGTGATCTCTCGATGACTTGCAACACCTGCTACGATGTGAATGCTTTCTGCAGATGTTGTTATGTATTGTTTAAGGAATAATGACAAAAAGTCTGTACATGGTCAGTGCAGATGCAAGTTTTAACATATAGTTTTGGTCCTATGCTAGTTAGGATGTGTAACTCATGGGTACGGAGGGCTGCTGGAAGGGAAGCCTCATAGCCAGCAGCTGAAGAGGACACTCGGTGTAGGCAAACAGAGTAAAGGCTAAGCATGTGTCCCCCCGCGTGAGGTCCCCCAACCCTCCCGATACACCGTCGGGTCAGTATTTTATCATTACCCGCTGTTGTATCAAGGACCCTGAAGCGTAGAGGTTAGAAAATGTGCATAAGATCACCCAGCAAGTGAGTAGGGTAGTAGGCCATGATCAGGTTACTCTCACTCTGAGACTGCCTTCTGCACCTAAGTGTTTTGCTGTCCAACAGCAAATAGATCTTAGAGGAGGCAGAGTGTCTTCTGACCTTGGCCCTTCTCCTGGGGAACAGCATGGGGCCGCTGAAGAGAAGTGGAGAAGTCCAGTAGAGAGGCGTAGTGCAGTGCTAAGCCTGACAGTAAGAAGCAGATCCTCTGATGAAATGACCGCACGATCCTGCCCCGCTGCGAAGTCTGGACAGTGGGACTAGAAATCGTGAAGAGCAGCACGTTTGCCGTGGGACTCACAGGCACTCGGCCCCTTTCATGTGGGCACGCCTCATTAAGAGGCCCAGGCTCGTGCCATCTGATTAATTCCCTCCTGGAAAACTGGAATTCTAATCTCCCTTCTTCGGCTCTTTGATGTAAGCACTATATTCATGGGAGCCCAGGGGCCGTCTAGAGAGAGACACTTTCACTTTATGATCGTATGATCGTGTGTGTGTGTGTGTGTGTGTGTGTGTGTGTGTGTAAAATGGAGCAGGGACTAGATTTTGGTCACTGCCTGTTGCCACGTAGAGAGCTCTGGTTAAGTACACAGATTCTAGGAGCAGAAGACCAAGGTTTAATTTTGGTTCTGCATTGCCCAGCCAGGAGGTCATGGGAAAGTTATTTAACTTCTGTAAGCCTCCATGGTCTCATTTATAAAATAGGCATCACTTGGTATGACTTTTATGGTGATTAAGTTATGTAAACTCTAAGCCGTTAGAAATGCCTGCACAATATAAATGCATAATCAATGCCTTTTAGCGGGCGGTGCGGGGGATGGAACCCAGGACCCTAGACACGGGAGGCCAGTGCTTTCTCACTGAGGTGTGCCACAGCCCTGGCCGGTGGTGCTGCTCTTGCAGTTCAGTGTATGCTAAGGGCCACCTGATACCAGTGCAAGAACCGTTGAATGGTGCACCACCGTATTGGGTTACACTGGGTGTCTTTCCAAGGGATTATTTTTTTTATAGTATCTTAATCATATTTGGTTACTTTCTGTTTGCTAGAAGAATAATCAGTTTTCTATGTGGAAATATTGAAAATGTTTTCCTTCTTTTATCCCTTAGATTTTATTGGTAGATTTTATATATACACGATGATCACATTCATCACAGAGAATTTGTACCTGTACGTGATATAACTTGTTTTTTTTTCACATTGCCCTACCCTCCCTTCAACCCCTCCTCCCTTCTCCATTTACAAAGGCTTTGTTTCCATGTTTTCCTTCTTTTTCACTTTTCTCTCCTCATGGCCACCGAGGGCATTAGGATTTTTGGGCAGTAGGGTCATTTGCTTAGAGGTAGTGCCAGCATTTGAACTCCAGTAAGATTCAGAGCAGTAGGACCAAAGAACATTTAATGCTTGGAAAATGTTACATTCCAAAAATAAGACATTATAATATTCATAAAGGAATGTAGAACAGAAGAAAGGAAAAGAAGTTCTAAATGTTCTTCTCTTTTTCTTAGCTTGTGAGTGCACTGAAAACAGTATCCACATTTGAAGTCCAGATTGTTGATTACAAGTATAAGTAAGTACAAAGCACACTCAAGCAAACACTGCTGCCTTTTGCTTGAATGCGTTAATGGTGGCCAGAAAGCGTTTTTCCAGTGGAAGCTATAGGTACTCAAATACCTAGAAGGGCTAGGCGGACACCATCTGTCTCAGGTACTTTCTCGTTGCTGGGATAAAATACTCAACACCCATAAGTTAAAGGAGCAAAGTTTTGTTTTAGCTCAATTTGTAAAGGTTTCAGTTCATAGTTGGCTGGATACAAGGCAAGGTGACGTAGCAAAGGGGCACGGCAGAGGGGAAACAGTGTATGGCAGGGCAGGCAGGAGGCAGCAGCAGTGAGCCTCCCTTTCCCTTTTTATACTACTTAGACTATTGGTTAGTGCCACTCACATCCAGGGTGGGTCTTCTGTCTTCAAGAAATCCATTAAGCCATGCCGAGAACCATGCTAATCCAGTCAGTGGCCTCATCCAGTACCACACATCCTGAATCCAGTATCACACCCTTAATCCAGTATCATACACTTATTTTATTGATATCATGTGTTACTGGTTTCCCATTTAAGACACCTATTGAAGTTCCCCTTATAAGTAAGAACAGTGGTACCTCAGTTAATGAAGTTAATTTGTTCTGATTTTGAAAAAGATGGCCACGTTTGTGTTTGTGTGGGAAAGATGGCCACCGTCATGTTTGTCACCCAACCCAGAGTTTGCAAACCAAAACAGAACTTTGCCAAATGCTTCTGTTTGTGAACTAAATTATTTGCAAACAAATGTGTTTGTGAACCAAGATACCTCTGTATACTTCAGTCTAAAAGGTAACTGTATTTACATAGAAAAAAAGTTAAACTATTAAAACCATAAGTTATTATTTACAAGGGTGTGCCTAAAATTGGCAAAAAAAGTATAGATGGGGGATTTGATTTCAATTGGAAAATACACCTTTGTAAATATTGTTACCGTGAATCATTAATGAACGCAACTGAAGGCTTTTCCCTTCTCTTTGTCTCTCTTGTATTATTGTGCATGTCACAGAGAACTGGGGTTTTTGGATCAACTGAGGATAACACACAATACGGACATATTTATTGGAATGCATGGAGCTGGTCTTACCCATTTACTTTTCCTTCCGGACTGGGCTGTGGTCTTTGAACTGTAAGTGTTTAGGGGCAGCTTTCCACATGGGTGACTTAGTATGTTAGAGTTGTTATGAACTTCCAATGCTATATAAGACATTTTAAAATAATGTATATTATTAGAGGTATAGTCAGGGAACTGTGGGTTTTATCTGAACTCATTTCTCCTAGAGGAAGAGAGAGAAGGATGGGAGAAAGGAGGAAGGGAGAAGAATCTGAGAGTCAGGTTTTGCTTCCTTCATTAACCAGCTGTACAAGCTTGGGTATGTTTCCGCCCTCATCTACTTCCTGAAGCATACAGGCACATGCCCTATAAGATAATGTAAGTTCACAGGGAGCAGTACCTCTTGGATAAAGTCAGTCTCCTCCGCTCCTTGCTCTTATTCTTTTTCGTAAAGTGAATATAAAGTTCTTACAGTGATTTTTAAAAAATTTATTTTTATACTTTTTAAAAAAGTTTTTTCACAGTGGTTTCTATGGAGCTCAAGGTCTCATACATGCTAGGCAAGCACTTTACCCCTGAGCCTGAGAATATTTCAAAAGTAATTTTTCTTCGTCTTCTTTACTGTTCGCGAACCCTTCGCAGGAACATACCTTGAAGGTGCATTTCCCCCCCAGGTAATTTTAGATTGGGCAAAACGCGGGACAGAAGCCTCATGCTGTGACCGTCTTTGTCTTTAGATACAACTGTGAAGATGAGCACTGTTATTTAGACTTGGCCAGGCTTCGAGGCGTTCACTACATCACTTGGCGAAGGCAGAACAAAGTCTTCCCTCAAGACAAGGTAAAGTTCAATCACAGAGCTCACCCCGTTAGACTTTAAAATGGTTTCACGTGCCCACTTACGACAATTAAAAATGATCGTTGTGCTTCTATCCAAAGATAAAACTCTCCTACCATAGAAAAGTGGGGTGTTGTATTTGTATTTGCAGATTGGAGATTTTAATGTTAAGACAGCTTTGTGAAATTTGGGCATAGAAAGATCTAACAGATGAGGGATAGCAGGAATCAGCAAACCCCTAAGGTACAAATCTGGCCCGCCACCTGTTTTTGTAAATAAAGTTTTATTGGAACATTCACACATGTATTTGTGTATTGTCTGTGACTGCTTGTGTACTTCAAGAGCAGAGCTGAGTGACTGCGACTGAGAACATAGGGTTAACAGAGCTGCAAACACTATCTACCCCTTTCTAGAAAATGTTTGTCAACCTCTCGTGTGTAGAAAGAGTTCAAACAATTGCCTTAGCCAAAGTAAAACAACGTCCTTCCTGTAGAGGAAGCCATGCTCCTAGTGACTGAAGGATTTGTGTTCTGGGTTGGCTTTGCAGGGCCACCACCCGACTCTGGGGGAGCACCCAAAGTTCACCAACTACTCTTTCGATGTGGAGGAATTCATGTCCCTCGTGCTGGGTGCTGCAGATCACGTCCTGCAGCACCCAAAGTGGCCATTTAAGAAGCGACGTGATGAGCTGTGAACGTGTCAGTCTGGTTGCAGGAAGAGGGCCTTGGAACTCTCACGCCGAACACACACTTCACATCGTCACACAGCCTGCTATTTCCTCACACAGATGAACCTTCCTGCGCCAGAAGATACCTTCAGGACATTTCATGTTACACAGACTCTACGTGTTGGGTGTGGTTGCTACGTCGTTGCTATTTATCAATGGCTTAATATTTTTGCACTGAAAAATTTAGTTTTTATAGTTAAAATTGGGCCAAGGCTCTCTTGTATAGTTGAGCTTTCTTCTTCGGAATACCAAAGTTTTCGATTTTCTCAGCTTTAGAATTTTTAAGTGGTTTTGTAAAATATCATGTGATTAAAATCCCAGAGTGTTCCAACTTGTTTATGATATATTTAGGTAACTCCAGATCCTCTCTTTTACTTGCTGTAATCTGTTCTTAACACTGATTGTGGGGGAAAGAAAACACACACAACACACACGCACACACGCACACACGAATGCAGTGTGATTCTCAAGTTACAAGACCGTGTTATAGATCAGTGTTTAGTCAGCTCCAGGTTCTGTGCATGCTGCTCTACTAATTCACATTCACATTGCGTATTCACATCATGTTTTCCCAGAATACTACACGTGATACAAACCAGTGGGAACATTCTGCAGTGATCTGTTGTGTATTTTACAGCTCGCCTGCACTGACTCCTTCCTAGCTATGGAGAATATTGGTGTTGAGTTTATATATGAAACGGTGGCTTCCTTTATGCAGTTATTTGTAACTGCACACAGTATGTGTGTATCTACCTCTGTTAGCTTGGAAGGGTCCCAGTCTCTGATTGTACAAACTTCAAAGTAGCCAAATGAGAGAATTTTTCCCTGTAAAAAGTTAGGACTATAAAAATGTAGACATATAAATTGTCCAGTCAAAATGAAAAGAATATCTAAATTATAGTCCTGTTTTTTGAATAGGATTCATTTTTTTTACTGTTTATGAACTTACGGTTTAGAAATTAGAAACTGTGGATTATACTGCCCATTGTGAAGTTTACATTTTACTAACATTTGAGTGGCCTAATTTAGTGACAAAATATCTCTGGATCTTTGCTGATCCTTGCTTTAAAGGATTATGTGTACATTTCTAGAGTGTAGTAATATTTATTAAAATATCTGAAAAGAAAATAGTGAATCACTCTAGAAAAAGCTTTGATTTGGATCTCAAAACTGTATAATAAGAATTATAACATGAATTTTTAAATGACAGCTATTGCTACTGTTCTTGGTGCAGAATACTGAGTAACTGCTGGGAAATATTTCACAGGAAAGGAACTGTAAAGCCCACATTGCACTTTGAGTCGGGGGGCATAAACATCTGAAAAATTTATCGGGAAAAAGTTTTATTATTTATCTTCTTACCTCATTTTACGAAGCACATAGAAATGTGACACCATAGACTATGGTGAATTCAGAAACCAAGAACAATTTCATAATAAAACTATATTTGAATAGTTTGCTTTTAAAGAGGATACATTTTATACAAACAAGAAAGTATACTTGACATTTTATGCAATTAACTTTTATTGGACATTTTTTGGTAGGAGCAAAAGAAGGTCCTCAAATTGTTATAACATTTAAAATGTAAAGACTTTAAATGTAAAGACTTTTATGAAGTCTTCAAAGGGGACGCATTTCATCATTTGTACATTTCGTATATGGCTTTGGAATAAATCTTTTTATATTTCGTTTAAATATGTGAACCATTTTCGGAGATTTCTGTGCCTGAATGTTGTAGACTGTACTTGCTTCCCCCCTGCCCAATCTAGTAGCCTGTAGACTAAAAGCTCAGTAGCTTAATGAAGAATTCAGTTCAATAATATATATGTATATTTACATTTATTTACCAGTTTTTTATCTGGTGTTTTCACAAATGTTGCGCTGCATAAGTCCTTACCCGAATGATGCAAGAATTAGGGTGCCGGGACTTCCCTAATGATCGTGGGCCCTCCGGTTCCACACCCGCAGCCTTCCGTTCCCTCCTTTACTTGCTCGCTTAGCGCATGCCGACTGAGCCACTTCCGTGCGCCAGGCGCTGTTCTCGGTTCTGGGGATACAGTAATGAGGTCCTGGTGCTCCTGGAGCTTGCTGGTGGAGGAGGCACACTACACAGCATCACTCATTAAAATATATAGTATGCTGCATCAGGATAGCACTACGGAGAAAAGTGAAACGAGAGAGGGAGTCTGGGGTGGGTCCTGCACGCACACGCGTGGAGTCAGCTAAGTCCTCACTGAAGGCGAAGAAGGAAGCTCTGCAGCGGCTCAGCGAGCAGAGCGCAGTTAGGGAAGACAGAACAGCATGTGTAGAGGCCCGGAGGCAGGCGCCTGCCTGACGTGTTGAGGGACAGCAAGGAAGCCGGAACAGCCGGTGCGGTCAAGGGAGAAGGGGTGAGGTCACAGAGGCGAGGGGTGGGGAGCAGACGGCCAGGCTGCTGGCCTGCGCTTGCGCGAGATGAGAGCCATGGAAGAGGTGTGGACAGGGGAGCCAGGCCCTGCCTTGGCGTGGAGCAGGGCAATGCTAACTGGCTGGCTGGGCATGGGCTGCAGAGCGCCCTCTCAGGGCAGGTTCTGGGAAGGCAGCCCCCGGGACGAAGACCAGAAGTCACAGGGGATCTGCTCAGGATCGGCACCTGGGGGCAAGCAGGGGCTCTGGCGTGGACAGAGAGGAACCGAGCTGCACTGCCGCAGCAGGTGGGACCACAGGGACGCCTGTGGGGTTGGGCATCTTTCAGTGGGTCCCATAAGGAGGCAGGAGTTGTCCCTATCAATAAACCCCAGACGGGGGGCCGCTGGAGAGCAGTGTACCGGTGAAGGGGGAGTTGTGGTTCTGGAGCGGAGCTCAGCAAGGGTCCATGGGGCCGGCCCTCGCAGCCGGGGTGGGTAGACTGCAGGCTGCAGGAACTCCCAAGGACAGCTGGCAGCGTCTGCAAGGTGAGGGTGTCCTTGCACTGGCTCCTGTCTCCCTTCTTCCTATCAACTGGTCCTTTGGTCTAAAATCCTCATTACATCCTGATTTTATTGTTAATTTTAAAGAAAAGAATACTTATAGATGACCCCATGAGCTTGACGTTGTAGAAGGCAGGAGGCAGGTCGGCACAACTCAGGCTGTGTAGTTAATTTTTCGTTTTCATAGACCTTCCATGATCTGTGCTGCGTATTAGTAATTGTCCCCTCACCGTACCATCTTTTTAAAAAACGTTAAGAGACTCTTTTAGATGTCTAAATAGAGAACAGAGAAGTTAAGAAACTCACCCAAAGTCACGCAGTCAGTAAATAGCAGATGGATCGAATACAGGGTATTTTTGGTAAAAGAATTTAAATAGGGATGTACGTATGCAATACATGACGGAAGGATGAAAGGAGTGAGGAGGAAAAATTAATTGTGTGCATATGGGGACCGGGAATGGAGAAAGTCACCCAAGAGTTTAGTGAGATCCTTTCTGGCAGTTGCCAAGTAGTTTTCTTTGAAACAGATAGTATTGAAAAACATCTGCTTCTCCGCTAGGAGGATATAAGGAAATCATCTCAGCTATGCTTGCCTGAAGAACTCAGTTGTTTAAATATCCCCTGTCTACAAAGGTCGTTTCTAGAAGACTTTAAAGCCTCTCTTCTCTCTAGTTTATTGGGGCATGTGGAAAGGTAGGATGGGCATGTGGAAAGATAGGATAGCCATTCTTGCCCAAAAAGAAGTAGGAGCAATTGCCAGGTTAGCATTGTACATGCTTTGGACAGTAGCGCCCCTTTGACCACAAGGTGGCAGTAAAGCCCTTCTAAACGGTCCCTGGGACCTGCAGCGCCAGGTAAGAAGCTCATCTTAGATTCCAGGCACCTGTGTGCTGAGAGTAAGCCTTGGCTTCTGCGTGTGTTCGATTTTTTTCGTTTCTGATTTGAAACAATGTAGGAAAATTATACGGGCCCTTTTCAGTTTAAGTGTAGACATACTTAGGTCAGTCAGTACCTGCACGCTGTACGTGATCTCCCGACCCTCTTGTGGGACAGGACCAGGGCTGGCTCCCTGCAAGAGGCTCCCGGTGACAGAGCTGTGGGTGGGACGCGTGCTGTTGACTTGCTGGGGAATGTGGCTGGGGCGGAACCTCTGCTCAGACCTTGTTCAGAGCACATTAAGTCTTCCGTTGCTCTTAGGGGCTAATTCCTTGTCGTGTTGCTTTTACAAGTTGTCATGGGTGTAACTGCTGTTACCGTTTTATTTTGAGCAGAACCAAACTCAGAAGAGTTCATGGAAGGCCAAAGGCCTTGGAGGAAGAGACATTAATTCAGGAGTGCTGTTAGGCAGAGCAGTGTGAAAACTGACGCTGTGAGGGCGTGACCTAGGGCAGTTCTCAGCGTGTTTCGTGTCATGTTTTCTCTAGATCGTCCAGTTCCAGAATTTTGGGGTCTTCAGAGCAAGAGGAGGGTAGAGAAAAACGTGGGGATAGAAACCAGAAGGCTCTAAGTCCTCAGTTTTTTTCATTGTTTTGGTTTTTTGTTTGTTTGTTTTTTGGTACCGGGAATTGAACTCACAACCTTGCACTTCCCAGGGAGGTGCTGGGCCACTGAGCTACATCCCCAGCCCCAAAGTCCTCAGTTTTGCAGCGTAACATCTGCGTGACCGTGGGCTGCTGCCTAGTTTCGCAGAGCTTCAGTTTTCTTATTTATACTGTGGTGTCAATATGTGTCAGGCAGGCTGACTTAAGAATGTAATAAAACAGAGTCACACTTGTTGAGTGCCTGGCACATGCATGTGTTTAGTAAACGCCATTGTTATACCGTGACATGGAGAGTTGTTATTATTTGAAGGTCTTGTACCTGGAGAGCATTTAATGTTGATCTTTAGAACAAATGTCCCAGAGTGTCTAGTCGTACAGTCTGATTGCAGTTTGTTAGCTGTCCCCGGGTGGTTCTGATTTAGAGTGATTGGGGACTACGGGTTTAGGACCCTAATAAAACTCACAGCAGTGGCCAGTTCACGAGGTCTAAATCAGTATCTGCCAGAGCATCTTACACTGGGTGTCAATAGGACATTATGTGAAAAGTGAGTTACTTAGGAAATGTTGCCCCAAGTCAAATAGAATTTATTGCAGGACTTTTCAGCGCATTTGATATAGTAGTTGCCTTGTCAGTCTCTGAACAGGGAGCTCAAATGTGCACTGTATCCAGGTTTATTTAAACCATAAGATTATTTTCTCAGGAGGTACAAGAATTGGTGTTGCAAGAATCCCCCTCCCGGTGGGCTGGTGAGAGCATCTGCGGTGCTCACAGCCCCTTCCAGAGGTAGGCACACCTGCAGTGCCTTCAGGACGAAGTTGTTCTGGGGAGCTACAGCTGATGATGAATTAAATCAATTGTGCTGCTTGGTCCCAGGTAATGGGTCCGAGGATCAATAGCTGAGCCAAAGTTTGTCCAGTCCGGATGCTGCAAGATAAAAGGTAAATAAACGACCCATCGGAATGGCTTCGGTTGGGTCCATTTCTCATTCGGTGAAGTGAATGCCAAACCCTGGTACCAAGATACCAGATCCGAGCTGTGGGGGTACTCTTCTATGAGGTGCAATTACGAGCCCCTTTTCAGTCACTTGCACATTCAGGATGTGAAGTGGATGATCTCTTTCTTACAATCTGAACTACCCTCCCTCCTACAGCATCACCAGCACCGTGCTAATAATTGCCACACTCCCCGTGGAGGTGGAAGCTAGCCGCAGCTGAGGGGCGTGGACGTGATTGTCTCACTCTGGGCTCAGTGTCATCCAGCGACTTCGATGCCTGCTGCCTCTCAAGCTCATTCGATCAGCAGGACAAGTGTAGGGAAAAAGTGATTGTAGTTTCCCAAGAAATCTGGAAGATAAACTGCAAGGACACAATCCCGTTGAGATGCCCACTGTATTGAGTGGAAATCTAAGCTGGGCAGTGTGTTAACCGAAGGTGCCGGGGAATCAGACCAGCTTGACAGGAGGCAGTTGCTCGAGGAGCCAGCAAGTGGAAGATGAAGTTAAAGGTGACTGCTGCGAGTCCCCGGAGAAAACCTGAAGTCCAAGGGGTACCGACGTGTAAATAAAGCAGACGACAGAGTGAAATGATAGAAGTGCTAGGGACATACTGAACAAAACTAAGGCCAGGCAGGCAAAGGCCGTGCTTAGCATTTGAAAGCCAGCTTAAAAGGAGGCAGGAGGAAGAGGAAAATGGAACAACTAATGAAGTAAGTACTCTACTACACTGTACTGTTCAGCCAACCTGCACACTCTTAAGGTAGGTGGAAATGGGGCCAGAAGAAGCAGGTCCTAATTCACAAAAAGAGGACTGCCACAATGACAGGAAAATGTAAATCCTTTGGAAAAATACCTTTGTCTAGGTATCATTTCTCAAGAATACAGGTAGCAACCGACAGTGTTCAGGGAGGGAATGGACACAAGACGCTCTGAGAAATGTGTGTGGGTGATCCGGGGGAATGGACCGGGGGTTTTTCCTTCCCTAGCCTATGAGCGCGTCATGACTGCTGCCTCGCTGTAGAACTAAGTCAGATGGGATGATGGAGTGTCTCACAGCACCATCTCCGGGTCCTGGGAGGAAATTTTGGCTGGAGTTTTCAGGCATCTCTATGCAAATACATCGCTTTGTAATTCTATCATATTTACTTTTTACTTGATGATATGTTCTTGGATAGGCTTGTTTTTGCAATTCAAATAACAGTCTGTTGGAA